TCTCAAAAGTTTGCTGACCCCTGGAAGAGCCAATCCTGTCCCTCACAACAATTTAAAAATTATTCGAGAGCCATAAATATATTTTTACATGATCACCATTATGTGAATGATATCCTTTAAACATTTTATAAATGAAACTATGATAGCTTTATTTTCCTTTTCGATTTTACTTCAGAGCCACATGTACGTACCCAAAGAGCCGCATGTGGCTCGCGAGCCGCAGTTTGCTGACCGGTGGCTCTTCTGTCTCAAAAGTTTGACGACCCCTGTTCTAGACAATTACAAGAGATCCTAACTAACCTTTCTGATGTCACTCTTCACTCTCCGCCAGTTCTCCTCAAAGCAGCCAGAGGACTCTTTTATCAATGTAAATCAGATCACATCACTCACCAGATGGCATCTACTGCACTTCCAATAAAACACGTACTCAGGGCCACAGCCTTCAAGGCCCATAGGACCTGACCCCTGGCTACTTCCCCCACTTCTCTTGAGCCTCTTTCTCCCCCTTAACTTTTCTGCAGCCACAATGATCTGAGAGTGAGCCTTTACACTGGTCAAGACTGCTGCCTACAAACTCTTTTCCCCTGACTCTTAAAAAAATAATCATCATGAAATATTTCAAGCATCCAAAAATTACAAAGGATAACGCAGCTGATGGTCTGGCATCCCTCAGCTCGAGCCAACGAAAATGACCACCAGCCATCTTTGTCCCAGACCTCTCCCTCCTCGTGCTTCAAGAAAATACCAAGATGCAGTTAAAGACCATCTCTGCCTCCAATTCCTTCTCCTTCTCTCCATCCCTCCAAGGGGAACCACCATCCTGATGCTGGTAGGGAGCCTCCCCATTTTTACTACGCAGGGTTTTTCTAAAAACTATGTACAGAACTGTTTTTGCGTGATTGTGAAGTTTACAGAAATGGCACCCCAGGGAGCATATCCTTTTGTACCCTTTCCTCACTAAATTTTGCATGGCCGGTCCATTCGTATCTTTTGGGTCTCAGTTTCTGTCACCTCCTCGGAAGAAGCTCTTCCTGACCTGAACTTGAAGT